TTTGTTAAATAGATCTGCACTTGAATAGCATCTCTCTAGTCTTCCAACCATTCAAAGAGCTTTTACACTACATGCCACATTCACCCGTTCACACAGATGTTCATATACTGGAGGCCAAGGCTGCCACACAAGGCGCCACCTGCTACTCAGTTTAGATAGTCACACACATTTCTACACTGGTGGCACAGCCATCAGGAGCAATTTGGGATTTAGTATCTTGCCCAAGCATACTTCAACATGCAGGAGCCAGGGATTGAGCCACTGATCAGTCACCCAAGGTGTCCAAAACAAAAATGCAAAATAGCATACGTAAAACCAGCTGCAAAATGTATTTACACTTCAGAGATTTAAAAATTCAGGTCAATTCTTGAACAAAAACTAATATTTTATTGCCAGTGTGTCATTAACAACTCAGTTAACAAGCAATGACCCACCAATAATATACAATGAGAATATGAACAGCAGCAGAGATAAAGAAAGCATCCATCGTATCTTTTAAAGAGCCACTGTGGGGACAGTTTTGGATAAATCTTGGATAAATTTTCAGATTTTCTGACAGAGTGTTAGACTGACTAACCTGCTGGTCACTCGTCTGTTTATTAAAAAACTTAACTGTGCAGCATCATAGGATGGAAATGGGTGGCCGCCAAATTGAAAACAGGCTCTAAAACCAGATTTACTGGTACGTCATGGTTACCAATAATACTCTGTACATCATATGAAATAGTGCACTGAAATGCAACACAGAAGCAAAGGAAATGTTACTTGAAATTAAATTATCAGATGCACAAAAGTATCTAAAGATAAGAACAATGCATCATAATTAAGAGCTGCATGCAAGTTAAACCTGGACTCAACATAATGATATGGTTTATTGAAGGATTTACCTGGATTAGGTTGCTTTTGTTCAACTGCAAACCTCAATTGTTCATCAAAAACCTCTCATTATTATCTCCTCCACACATTAACCACTCACTACATTAGAAGCAATGATCAGATTTTCAAGAGATTGGCAATGTCAACTAACCTTTGCCCTCACACTTTTACCTGATAAGACCTAAAGATCACATCAACAGCCACTACCCTCCCATACTTAAAGACACTTGTGCAGGTTAAAAACATGTTATTAGGACAAATCTTACTAACAATCAGGCAACAGGACAATTTCCTCTTCCTAAAGCATCTCAGAGACAACAAAGTAGGCTTGTCACATTTCCTATGATGGGTCTGTGGCTTGTAATCAAATTTGCCATCTCTTTTGCCGAAGGAGTCATCGGTCTTATACAACTACAGGAACAAACAAGACTATTTTGCAATCAGTATTTATATAGCAGTGCTAAATATTTTGTCCAAGACAAAAAGAGACAACCTTTCTTACCCAGTTTCCAACCATTCAAATCAAATGCACAATTTTCACCTTTCACCTCACTGTAGTACGACTACCAAGTATAAGTCATGTAGTGAATACATGACTGGTATGTTGTGTTTACGGTTTCATCATAAATTCAACATAAGCACTGCAATATCCACGAGAAGCAGTTGTTGAAGGTGTGCAGTTGTCGGAGTTCAATCGGCCCTGTTAAAATTATATGATTTCACCTATAAAAACTATAATCTTTACGAGAGGGTGTAGCTCTAAAACCCTTCCTCCTGCTGCTGCTCCTTGGAGCAATCTTGGGTCTTGCTAAGATGGCTCCATAACCATATCTCACTTTTCACCCAGTACGCTTCTGCCAGTTTCACATCATAACTACAAATCAGCTGTGTTGCGTTTCTCAAGGATTTCCCTTTGTTTCAAACATGAAGGCCTCAGTGCACAAATATTATCTATATCCCAGCCCCTGCAGGAACAAGTGGTTGAACCCTTATAACTCTTGCTGTGGATGTCATTTTAACTCTGTGCTGCTCAACAGAGTGACCACCTGTTTATGGCAGACACTTGTAAAGTCTTAAAAATCCCTGGCATAAACTGGGTTGGATTCATTGGCAATTTAAGCTTTAAAAACACAGACAACAGTGGTCTTCCTAGTATTAATATTTACCATTATAAGTGATGTAGGCAGCCATACTGATTGTCAATCAATGCATGCAACAGTGATATTACAAAGAAAGCTAAGGTAAAGTCCTCCATCATTACAATATCCATTGAAAACTACTGAGGGTGCAAGAAGGCGTGATTAACACAAGTGACAACTATACTGGGCCACCAAAAAGGACCAGTTATTTGATTGCGTGTGTTAGCATGCTGTACAGCCCAAAGCAGCATGTATCCCATGGGTGTCCCCTCATTATTGTCGTGGCATCTAGCGTTACATGACGGTCCTTGCTCCAAGTAATACTAAAAGGTCAAACAAGGCTACCTTACATCCTGTGCAGCAGCATCTACAGCAAAGGGCTATCCTTAACACCATACTTAATGTTACATACATACAGTCATGTTTAAAGCCGATCTAAGACCCTTATGTACCGTTAAGAGGATGGTAAACGTCAGTTACACATGCACATATACTTTGACCACTGTTGGTAAGGAAACACCACGGTCTACAAACAAAGGATTGCAACGCACACCTAACTTATCCGGTCATATCACGTTAACCATCACCATAAAAATGCTTGATATCTCTTCTTGCATTTACTGATCCATTTTTCATCTGTAACTTAACTAACGTTAGTGTTTGCTCTTGTAACGGCAGCATGCTTAACGAAGGATGCACCGAGCACAGCGGTTACCCTTTCTGCTCTCGCATAGGTTTAACGCCATTATGCACGTATTTCTCTTAAGGTTACTGCACTGGCCTGAGCACAGAAAGACGGTCCTGTGTCTTCACTGCTACTAGCTAGCCAAACAGGCTCAATTGACTTTGGAGCTGACGCGTTAGTGTAACGTTAGCTAGCAAGCTGGTTTCGCCACCAACATTTGCTCGGTCGTTTTAACACAATTTCCTTTCGTCCTGCACAAAATGAGCTAAACGAGCAAGTAGAAAATATATGTACGTCTTAATACGTTTAACGATACCTTCCTGGGCCTTCACCACTGCCGTGATATGTTGCTGAAAACACAGTCCGTGTTGGGGACGTGGAGAGCTGGGACCAAAGATGGCGTCCCCTCCAAACTTCCACTACTTTGGACACTCATCAAGCTACTTTTCGTGTGTTGGTACCACAGCGCACACGGTTAATCTTCCACACGGGCTGTGAAATTAACCGACTGACATACCACGGTTGTTTCTCACATGGACACGACGGCTGCCACCGTGTGAAAATGTGTAATAATTATCTGTTTTTAGGGCACAAACCTCTTCACACCTCAGCAGCGCGTCCTGGCTCCAGGGCCACCTCTCCGTCTTCAAGTGGTTGCCTATGAAACGTCATGCATCGTGTGCAAAATTTTTATCGCGAGGGTGATACATTTTTTCCTCACGTCAATGACAACATGAGGACTGCTCTTAAATTACATACACTGCACACATGATCTATGCACGACCACACTTTGTGTACAAGTCGTACTGGTGGGAAAATCAATGGAGATTATGATGTTCAATAATTAAAATAATTATCTGCCATTTGTATTTAAAGAAACTAAATAACTGTTGGACGACATCAAACGATTATAAAGTCAAGAAGTCAAGCCATCATTTCGACCTACTTCATCATTTAATACCTTATCATTTAGAGTAATTGACAGATTATCTCGTAATTTTGATTTAGTAAGGGACTGTACTTAACTTATCAGAGGAGGGGGTGGCTGACATATGACTTATTTTTTTTCTTTTCTTTTTTAGTCCCCAAGGCTATAAATATTTTTCCTTGAGCCTCACTGTTTGTCTGGAGGAAACGCATGACCCTCCCTCCACTAAACAAGAGTGACAATATAATTGGCACAACAGACATTATTCAGTTTTAAAAGATTAAGCTTTGATGTTTGAAAGTCAAAAGTTGAAAACAAAATCCTGGAGTTGAAAAATGTGTTTTCACTATTGTCGTGCATGCAGGGCTGCAGAATTTAATGTTTTACACAGGATCTGTTTAGTGCAAACAGTTTATTTTTGGCAACATTTTGAACGTGATATGTAGAATTAGGCAGAATTTATACTTCATATGAGTAGAGAGAAGTCTGCTAATTTATACAATGTAAAATGTCATAGGCCTGTGCTAATAATGTTAGCATCTTATATTTGTTTGGAAAACATGTTAAATATAAGACAGTTCTTTTGTCAGTGAACCTTGTGAGTTGCAATAGAGCCACATTTGTGACGTTTCCTTTGTTAAACGTTGCTGTTGTCCCTGGCTAGAGAGAAGTCTGCTAATTTACACAATGTAAAATGTCATAGGCTTGTGCTAGTAACATTAACATGTTGTATTTGTGGGGAAAATATGTCCAGAAAAAAATAAACACTTTGTCTGTGAATGCTGCGAGTTATAGCGAGGCCGATTTGTGTACCTCCGCTGCAGACTAGTGTTTTGGAGGTGTAACTGCAGAGTGACAGACACCACTGCACAAGTATAAATGCTCACAACCGTGTCAGCCACTTGCGTAAGCTACAGCGTAGGGTCTGCAGCACAAGTATAAATCCCCCTTTAGCTGATTTTTAAGAGGAAAGCCTACATTGTGCATGATATGCTGAAGGATCATTGGAATTTGAAATTCCTGTCATCTAAAGTAGTATTTCCCTTCTATAATATGTAGTTAAAGATGAAAATAAAGGAATCATTAAATAATTATCAAAGTTTTCCATTTGTAGAGCCCAAAGCTCCCCAAATATAAATCATATACTCACCTCATGGATATTAATACAGTGATCTACAGTACATAGAATAATATAACACCACAGCTTAACCTGACAACATGTTTTGTAAATTTATTGCACACAGTTTTGTTGATACAGACTCCTTTGGTAGAAAAAAATTATTGAATAAATAGGTACTATAGTATAAAAAGTATAAATATACAAAAAGGCAAAGAGCTCCAACTTAGGCTGTGCATGGTGTTAAGATGGTGAAGGTGGATATGGTTTTCTGAACTTGCTCTGCACCCAGACCCGATGCATTGCAACTTTCTTTCCTCTGTTCACTTGAAGTCGTCTGTCCTCGAGATTCTGAATTTCTTGCAGTCCAGCGTTGGAAAATAAATCATGAACCTCATCTGTAAAAATATACATAATAACACTCAGTAACCAGGGCTGTACACTAGAGATCGAGTCCCCCAAGAACAGACTAAAATGAGGTCTTAAATTGTTTTGATGAATTGGATTTTAAAAAACATAATTTGATTTATTTAGTTAACTGTTAAGATATATTTGTTAGTCAATTTTATTTCCCAACATGGACATCTACATATTGTTTTAAAGGAGCTCTATACAATATTCAGAGTGTATATATGATTCAGAGGTTGTCTGCACACGGCCCTCATCACTGAAGTGACTGAGACGGTGGCTAGTAGCTAACAGTGCTAACAGCACAAACAGTGCTAACAACAGCAACGGTGCTGACAGAACTAAATGTGTTAACCAGTCCCTGCACCTATCTCTGCTGTCCCAACATCAGCGATAACCGCAGTATGGGCACAGTGCAGAGTGGGGGCAATAAGCTGGACACACAGGACTCACATGCACTGACATGCACATGCGCCTGGACCATAGATGTATACTAACTACATATTGGACTCCTAGATGGAACTACTCAGACCAATGGAATTGCTCGTCTGGTGCATGAGCCAAACAAATTTCTAACAAGTTTCTGGAATCGAACCTGCAGCCACTGCAGCAAGGACACAGCCTCTGGACATGGGGCGCACACTCCAACAGATGAGCCAGTGGGCACCCCATCATAATTAACCTTGTCTGCAGTTCAAGGTATCCTGTCAACAGTTATTCAGATGTTTCTTTCCTAATGGTGGTCTATGGGGAAAATGCTATTTGGGCCACAGGGCATTTTTTTCCGCTGCAATACCAAGAGTGGCCACTGGAAAAATTTGCTGGGGGGGCGTGGGCCAACCCGGCAACCACAACAAAGAACAGAGAAGCTCGGATCACACAGCGGGAGTTCTTTGTTCAGGATACCATCCACTATATCTTTACAGAGCAAATAGTTGTTTGCTGCTTTATTAATGCTCAGAATATCACTTAGAGCTCCTTTAAAGCCTTTTGCTCACTGCCAGGAGTTAAATTCTAGTTGGAAAAACAATTATTTATTTACTGGCCTGAAAATAATCAAGCTTAAACTGTGTCAACCTATTCCAGGACCCCCCAAAAACCTGGCCATGTGGTACGTAAACTCCCCCAAGGTTCCTAAAACCTCCAAATGCTCAGAAAAAATACCAAGGACATAACCCCAGTGTCCTCAGTGATAGCTCTGGTCTTATTCACTGCATGTAGAAGAACATTCAGATCTCGCGGTACAGAAATACCTTTAGTAAAAAAGTACACGCAGGTTCCATCTCCACGTGTGTAGAAATTCTCTGATAAGCACCGTCCTGATTGTAAGACATTAATAGAGTAGATTAAATGTATAAAATTGTTAAAAAAACACCCATCAAAAACAGAATCGTGTACAGAATATAAAACAAATTACGTGAAGTAAATAAAAGTGGCTGTGTTCAGGTGTGTGTCACTATTTGGAGGCTCACCCCTCTTAAACCTGAGCTGTGAGAAGTCATATCTCCCATAATCACGGAAGAGAAATATCCCTCCATGTTTCAGGTATGTAGATAGTCGGTTCACAACTCCTTGCATTCTGTCAAAGAAATGTCAATTAATGGAACGATAATGTTGTACGACAGGATTGTATGTAGATATATTCATTTACAGACAGCTAAATGAGTGAAAACTTACAAACGAAAATGTCTTACTGTACATGGATAGTGCTGTGGTGCCAATATAAGGTAATACTAGAGCCTTAAAATTACAATATGCATACTGCCATCCCTTTAATGTCTAGCAAATCCCTGCACAGATAATATGTTGTACTCACTGACATAATACAGTTAGATTTATACTGTAGTCTGTAATGAAATTCAGACAAAGCCCAGGGACAGTGAAGGTGGGTTGGGGGTTGTGAAGGGGTCCACAGAGGAGCCTGGCAGGTGAGAAATGATATCAGGTTCTCCTTTGTCTTTTGATCTTAACCTACCGCTCCGGATGAATGGAGGAGAGCACAAAGACCGCCAGGATAACATCCAGGCTCTGTGGAGGGAAGGGAAAGGAGGCCATCTCCTCACAGATGTCATGGACAAAGGCGTGACACACAGAGTCATCGTATCCTGGGTGGTCCTATATGAGGAAAATAAAGTAGGCTAGATCCCAAACTGTTTTATAGTCACACAAAGTCTCCAGGTGGTAGCTCAGATACAAATTTTAGCAACTGGGTTTATATTGCAACCACAGTATGTATTATGTTACAAATTTCACACCTAAGAAATGTATGTATAGTGTACTTTTGCACTTATTTTAAGTCAGGTTAAAATGCAAATGTACTTAATCTCAATGAATGCTGCTATAAATAATCCAATAGATGTGCTATATTGTAGAGGTGTGTCCTGGAGTCACATGACAACTACACAAAATCAAAAAACATTTGCAGCTCAACTTGGACTTGAACACCAGTGACTTATGACTTTACTTGGACTTGAGCCTTTCGATTTGAAAATACTTGATGCCTTACCAGGTGCCCAAATATTTGAAAGTATGCTATTTAAAACATGTGTCACAAATCAATTAAATTTGCCTCATTTCCGGAATTAACTAATGTTAATGGTTTAACATTAACGCATTTGCGTTAATCTTTCCCAGCAAGTCGACACTTAATTCCCCAGATCTACTTTGTTTGATCCAGTCTAACAGCATCAAATCAAGTTGCAGGAGATAATCATGAAGCGCTAACGTTACATTACTGAGTGCCAGTTCGAAAAAATTATACCAGATATAATTTTGTTCACAAATAAATCTACGTGGTGGTCCACAAAAATCGAAATGTAGTGTGCAAATCAAGCAGGTAGAAAATTATAGACAGAGACACAACAACGTCCAACAAACTTGTTTTAACAAATAAATACAAATTTTTAAAAGCATTCATGACTTTTGTAAAGTTAAGATATCATTACTTAAAAAGGCTTTACATTTGGTGAAGAATGCATTTTGATTTGTGCAGGACTCAAAACCCAAAGCTTAGGACCTGAGACTGGACTCTGGACTTGACACTTACTTTTGACTATGCTGTAAAGCCCTCTGAGGCAAATTTAAATCTTTAACTGTGTCACATGTACTTCTAGATGTTCCTGTTTTACCTGATTAATGGTTTTACATATTTACTGTTTTTATTCATTATTGATGCTTTTATTTATTTTCTTTTACGTTTTTACTTGTGGCTTTTATTGTTTTTACTTCTTGTTGCCACTTTTATGTAAGCTTCTCTCTGGCTTTTCTGTGTCTAAGTGCTTTCATTTTTTCTATTATTGTACTCGGCTACATTTTAAATGAGGTCTCTACCTCAATGTATTTCCGAGTTAAAATAAAGGAAATTATAATAAAATTGTGATCTGTGATACTGGGCTTTATAAATAAAATTGAATTAAATTGAAAAACAATGACTTGGTCCCTTATATTATATAGACAAGAGTGACAGAAAATAAAAGTTGTCTGGTATAGATAATACAATCTCAATCATGCAAGAAAAATTTATGTTACAAATCTTTTTTTTTTTTTCATTAAATATTACAAGGAACAATAAACTGAGTGAGTCAAATGATGAATAAATCTCTTTCAATATCAAAGCAAGCTACAGGATGTGAAAATAAATATATTCCATTATTTCAGAATATAAACATATTAAAACAGATGATGAGTTTAAATCAAATGAGTTATTTGCTGAGCCAAAAGTAAAAAAAAAAAAAAAAAAAAATCACTTTAAATGCTAAATGGACTTGCACTTGTACAGTGCCTTTCTAGTTTTCCAACCACTCAAAGTGCTTTTACAACCTTTTCAAATCCTGTTCAAAAATGTCATGTACAAATGACCAGACTCTCTTTGCTGCTTCTTCACATATTAATACTAATTGGTTGATTCAGATTCAGCTGTAGCTACTAGGCAGAGCTTTGAGTTATTCTGCAGTATGCACATTGTGTGAGGGAACAATGGTCTGAACTATAAAATCTAATATGAATGGATATGCTGGAAAGCTCAAGGATTGACATTAACAGCAGCTTTACAATGAATGAATTAAACGCATTACTTCATCAAAAGTTAATGTATTCTGTCTAAATATTTTAGCACTTGATGACATGGGGGGCTTAATCATGATCTGATATGACTGCAAGCACCCTGAACATATTGTCCGTATGACCACAGTAAGTACTATAACTACATCACTGCTGGTTTAACATTATACAGCTTTGGCTGTTTGGCTGCTGGATATCAGTTACTGTTGCTTTGAAGAAACGTATTAACTTTTATACAGCATATAGCCTACTATACTGAGCAATATTAGAAATGTTTACCTTGACCAGCTGAATGGCACATGTGGAGAAGTCACAGCAGTATAAAAATGCATCTGTTCCTCTGTGAAGCAGAAAAGCCAATATATCAACCCTTGACTCAGTATCATGAAGATCTCATAAGGATTACACCTATCAGCCAAAACATCAAAACCACTGACAGGTGACATGAACAACACTGATCATCTTGTTCCAATGCATTGTTCTATTGGGAAATCTTTGGTTCTGACATCCATGTGGATGCCACCTGACACGCTCTACCCACCTTAACACCAGTGCAGACCATGTACCTCCCTTATGCCAGCAGCACTCCCAAGTAGCATTGGCCCCCCAGCAGGATAACGCACCATGTCACATCACATGAACTGCTCAGGAGTGGCCCGAGGAACATGACAGAGACCTCAAGGCATTGACCTGGCCCCCATATACCCCAAATTCCAGTCTGATCAAACATCTGTGGGACATGCCGGCATCCCACCTCCCACTCAGATCATTCCTGAGCAGTTTTTGTGATGTAAAAAATGTGTACAAAAGGTACAGGACAGCACTCCAATTATAGTGTTTATTGCCACACAAACGTTTCGGGTGAAACCCTTGCTCAGCGTGCACAAGCAACAAAGTGAATGGATCACACACAGGTGTCACTTATCAATAATCAGGCTGACACATTTTTACACATACACATTTTTTACATTTTACATTTTTCATTGAGGATTCAGATACTTCTGAGGGTTGAGCGTGTTTGTTTGGACTTCTGACAGTTTTTGTGATGTGGCATGGTCACTGTCCTGCTGGGGGGCACTGCCATCAACAAGTGCCATTGCCATTGCCATAAGGGGGTTTACTTGGTCTGCAACGGTGTTCCGGTGGGTGTAGCGCATCAGGTAGCATTTACATTAAATGCCAGGACCCAAGGTTTTGCAACGGAATATTGCACAGTAACAAGATGATCAATGTTATTCGCTTCACCCACCAGTGGTTTTAATGTTTTAGCTGATTGGTGTATGCACTGAAGCCAACATTTTACATTTACTTATTGTGGAAAATAACTCCCACGCACTGTCGTCTACATTCAAATTTATCGGGAACAACGCTTCGGTGCAGAGACTGATTAACAAACGGATGAAGGTCTCTGTACCGAAACACTGTTCCCAATAAATTTCTTATGATTTTAAGAGTAGAAGACAGTGGGCAGGAGTTTTTTGTTCTACTATAAAGTGCTGCAGGGATGATGTTTATTTGTCGGCTAACCTGGAAGTTAGCATTGCTCTGGAAAGAGGCGTGAAAGAAGCCATCTACGTCAAATTGGAACGATCATGATTGAACAGAGGAGGTGGCTTCCAACACCACTTATCACCCACCTACAATGTAGTCTTGGGATCCCTCCCCAAACACCTGGGCCCATCTAACCCTAACAAAGCACACGATGGTCGGGTGGGTCGACAACTCACATGTGACCTACACAACTCTGTAGGGTTCAAACCCAAACAGAGTTTAAAGCCTGCGACGCTGTACCAGTCGGTTAGAACTGAAAAAGCTTCTTAGATGAGAGGTGAAACATCTTCAAGAAACTCAAGCAAGTCCAGTTGCCTACAATATAGCACTTAAGACTACCATGACCCAGATGACTGAGAATCTTCACCAACCAATTTCTCTGGTTCCCTCGTCAAAATGCCAATGGGATTTTTTCTTTGGATTACTGCAGATAATAAGCTCTGTGGCAAACAAAGGTTTAAGATACTTACACATGTTGCTCAGCAAGATAATCTGTACATACAAATGAAGACCACTTTTATGATTTCTAAAGCCTATATGCTATCACCAAAAGTAAAAATATAATGGCAGGCTATAACCAAACTAAACAACGAGCACGTGACTTCAGTGTCACCACCAGGACAAGGCTATAAAGTCGTGTTCGGCGTCATGATGCCCTGTAGTCTCATTAAGCCACATGTTGGCACCCGCCTTTTATAATAGACATTAAAGCTTCAAAATTTACGAGTGAGGTATTTACAGACGTATTTTAATTTGTACAACAAAATGGGAAAGTCTCTTGAGCGTGTGTTAACTGCAGACCTTCTTTCAGGCATCTAATGAAAAACCCATTCAAAAAACCCACTGACTTCAAAACGGGGGAAGCGTGAGTGCTAAAATGCTAACTCATTTCCAGGTTTTAGGACTCATTCCTGCAGGACTCTATAGTTGACTCATGGTCTTCTCCTATGCACTGGTCAACCTAAAAGTTTTGCGTTTTGACCTTTATTTATTGCCTATTGCCTGCCTCCCTTAAAAAAAAACAAATGGACAGGATATTGCAGAAACAGGAAATGAAAAGTGTTAACATGCCACATTTCACAACATTAAATGAGTCTTCATTCTAAAAAAGGGAGAATGTGAAAACCTGGCATACAAACTCTCACTGTGTGCTACACTTGTGCACTTCTCTGCACCACTGCTGGTGGGTTGATCCGCACCTCTGGCTTCAACTACAGCCTGCGGTGCCTTCCAATACCAGCAAAATGCCTCCTCTTTTCTTTCCACACTACTGTCTTTACCCAGTCCTTGATTTTAGTGCTGATATCTCGCCAGCTATGCCATTAAGCCATTTCAAAGCCACTCTGCAGGAATCCTTGTCTAAAGAAGCACAAGAGGGCCTTTTCACAGAAGACATTTTGACATGTAGGGACACAGTAGGGAAATTAAATGTGTAAGAAGGGTCAGGGTCCTGTTACTGAGCACGCTGCTGACTCACTTTCACACTGTCATGGCTTACTGGGACACTTGATTGGACAGTGCCTATGTAAAGCCTGTGCTTATCCTGCTATGACGAGTCAAAATGTCTGCCCATTAATGCCTCACAAATTTTTAATACGTTCCCACATCTGTTACAACTTGTATTTCAAATGTAGTATTGCAACTGTTTCAATTGACCCTTCAAAACTGCACATGTGCAGAGTGTTGAATGAACGAATATTTTAACAGTACAAGCAATATGTGCACATTTCATGCAATGGTATAAATCTTGCTCCAACTGAGATAATATGTTACAACATATTATTCATGATGAGACACAGTTTTGTGCTGATTGAGGATATGTAACCAGACAATGTCATGGTCTATGAACAATAAATGGTTAATAAAACAGTATTTTACAGGACATTACTGTGTGTATTTGAAATGTTTTGCTTCTGTAAACATATGAAGGACTGAAAATCTACACATGATCTACATTGATAACACTGAAATGGTCAAACTTTAATGGATTAAATGGAAATATCTGAAATATTTACTCACTTTAAGGAATCAACAATGGGAAATACACTGTTACCGACCCCACATCCAACCTGTGAAAAGAAAATATATTTTGTCGATATTTGTTATCATTTGTAAGTGCTGTTATCTAACACCAAATTAGAATAGCAACTTACAGCCTACTACTTTTTATATCACTATTGTATAATGATCCACAAGCAGTAATCTTTATCAATACATTCAGAACAGAAAATCAATACATGTGACTTTTGAAAACCTCCAAGATCCTGAAAGATGCATGCCGGCCAGGGAAAGTAGTCGTCTGTGTGGCAGCACAGGACTCCTGGTGGTTGGAGATGTCTGTATTTCTGTGATGGTGTGTGGTGCCATTGTGTTGCTGGTGTCTGTTGTCTGTTTCTGTATTGGATCCAGTAGGCTGTAGGTATGACGCCTGCTCAACACCCAGACACCTGTTTGTGGCTTGACTTTTTGCACCAGAAGGAAGCAGCTCTGGAAACTCTAAAAACAGCCACTTGCGGTCTTTAAAGAATTTATCCTGATGCATCTCGTAAAACTTGTCCCAGTATTGGTGAGCCTCTGTGTCAAATTTACCTGCGTGGAGGAGATTTACAAGTATATTTTTTATTTGCAGTATAAAACAAACGTAACTGACTTGGGAAAATATTATTGCAGAAATACAGTCTTGCCTCGTTCCTCTTTGGGAATTTGTATACAGGAATTTTCTTCTGCCTTCTGCCGTGCATTTTCTTTATCCTCCTCTGTCCAGTGCACATGATCCCTAAAGCATTACAAAAGCAACTGTTGGATATTTGTTCAACTACAATAACTCACAAACTGCAACAAATATAAAACTGTGACATATGTCCACGGTTGTGTTTTAGAGTCGATCAGAAAGGTCTTAACTCTAACCCTGAATTTCAGCTCAATGTCACAAGCACACAAGGTCAACTGCACTGTAATCCTACTATCTACATGAGAGGCATATACTAGTGTGTGACAAATTAAAGTCTTACTACAATACATCACTGACCACATGTTGTGCTTAAAGATGTCATCAGGACTGGTGAGAATCCGTGAACCCAGTGGAGCTGAAGGTCTTCCTCCTGTGCCCTTTAGCCTTGAGGGCCATCTGCTGACAGCTTTAGCCAGTTTGGCTGCAGAGAAGTGCCGCAGTGTATGCATTTACTCTGTAAAAATGCAGACAGAGTTCAGTACATGGGAAATGGAGCTGTTTAATGCAAACAAGATAATTGTTTTTACTCTTCTAGCAATATTTTTCTGCTGTATGTTGTCATCAACTTAATACATTTTCTTTATCTAGTTTTTTAGAAGGACAATTTGCAGTTTAATATAAATACATTCAAGCAAACATGAGACACATGAACATATATTAAATGCCATAAGACAAAGGTCCCTGTGTGCTCAGTTAGGAACTTAACAGTGAGCAGCATTTATTTTTTTTTTGAGAACAAATTTCATTTTGTATTTCACTGGCCTTTCTGCAGTGACCTAAGGAGTTCAATTCAATTTCAATTTTATTTATAAAGCCCAATATCACAAATCACAATTTGCCTCACAGGGCTTTACAGCATACGACATCCCTCTGTCCTTATGACCCTCGCAGCGGATAAGGAAAAACTCCCCAAAAAAACCCCTTTAACGGGGAAAAAAAACGGTAGAAACCTCAGGAAGAGCAACTGAGGAGGGATCCCTCTTCCAGGACGGACAGACGTGCAATAGATGTCGTACAGAACAGATCAGCATAATAAATTAACAGTAATCCATATGACACAATGAGACAGAGAGAGAGAGAGAGAGAGAGAGAGAGAGAGAGAGAGAGAGAGAGATGCAGGTAATGACAGTAGCTTACAACAACATTATTGAAAGTAATAATATTATAGTTATAGTTCTGGCTACTGTGGTACAATATGTTGAAAGTATGTATTAATATCTGGCAGTATACATGTGTGACAATAGTCATATGTGTATAATAACAGTAGAAGTATGACTAATGACTAATGATGGCAGCAGCAGCAGGAGGCATCTGGCAGGACCACGGCAGCAGCACAACCACACACGTCACGCTGTCCAGGCACCGCTGCGATATGAGTTAATCTGAGAGACAGTGGAGCACAAAGGCTCCGGAGAAGAAGCCGAGTTAGTGACATCCAGAATGGCCGAGTTAGCAAGATGCAGTAATAGGATGAGAGTGAGAGAGAGAGAGAGAGAGAGAGAGAGAGAGAGAGAGAGGGAGAGAGAGGGAGCCCGGTGTATTATAGGGGGTCCTCCGGCAGACTAGGCCTAAGTCAGCCTAACTAGGGGCTGGTACAGGGCAAGCCTGAGCCAGCCCTAACTATAAGCTTTATCAAAGAGGAAAGTCTTAAGTCTAGTCTTAAATGTGGAGACGGTGTCTGCCTCCCGGACCGTAACAGGAAGATGATTCCACAGGAGAGGAGCCTGATAGCTGAAGGCTCTGGCTCCTGATCTACTTTTGGAGACTTTAGGGACCACGAGTAACCCTGCGTTCTCAGAGCGCAGTGTTCTGGTGGGATAATATGGCACTATGAGCTCTCTAAGATATGACGGAGCTTGACCATTTAGAGCTTTATAAGTTAACAGTAGGATTTTAAATTCAATTCTGGATTTTACAGGGAGCCAGTGCAGAGAAGCTAAAACAGGAGAAATATGATCTCGTTTCTTAGTTCCTGTTAGTACACGTGCTGCTGCATTCTGAATTAGCTGGAGAGTTTTTAAGGACTTACTAGAGCTACCTGATAATAGAGAGTTACAGTAATCCAGCCTTGAGGTAACAAAAGCGTGGACCAATTTTTCTGCATCTTTTCGGGTCAGGATAGGCCTAATTTTCGCAATATTACGCAGATGAAAAAATGCAGTCCGTGAGGTTTGCTTTAAATGAGAATTAAAAGACAAATCTTGATCAAATATTACTCCGAGGTTTCTTACGGTAGTGCTAGAGGCCAGAGCAATGCCATCTAGAGAAACTATGTCATCAGATAAAGAGTCTCTGAGTTGTTTGGGGCCAAGAACAATAACTTCAGTTTTGTCTGAATTTAACATCAGGAAATTGGTGCTCATCCAATTTTTTATGTCTTTAAGGCAGTTATGGAGTTTAGTTAATTGATTACTTTCTTCTGGCTTCATCGATAAATACAACTGTGTATCATCCGCATAACAATGGAAATTTATAGAGTGATTTCTAATGATGTTACCTAAAGGAAGCATATATAGAGTAAATAGGATTGGTCCGAGCACAGAACCTTGCGGAACTCCAAAACAAACTTTGGTACGTAAGGATGATTCATTACGAACGTCAACAAATTGAAAACGATCAGATAAATAAGATTTAAACCAGCTTAGTGCTGAACCTTTTAGGCCAATTAAGTGATCCAGTCTCTGCAGTAGAATTTGATGGTCAATTGTGTCAAACGCCGCACTAAGATCTAATAAAACAAGAACAGAGACGAGTCCTTTGTCTGAAGCAATCAGAAGGTCATTTGTAATTTTAACTAGAGCTGTCTCAGTGCTATGATGCACTCTAAATCCTGACTGAAATTCCTCAAATAAATTATTATCCTGGAGAAAATCACACAGCTGGTCTGCGACTACTTTCTCAAGGATCTTTGACATAAAGGGAAGATTAGATATTGGTCTATAGTTGGCTAACACCTCTGGATCCAGGGTGGGCTTTTTTAGGAGAGGTTTAATTACAGCTACCTTAAAAGACTGTGGTACATAGCCTGTTAATAGGGATATATTGATCATATCTAATATATGAGTGTTAACTAAAGGAAAGACCTCCTTAAGTAGCCTAGTTGGGATGGGGTCTAAGAGACACGTTGATGATTTAGATGAAGAAATCACTGCGGTCAATTCTTGAAGAGAAATTGGGGAGAAGCAATCTAAATATATATTAGATTCTACAGCTGTGTTTGAGGTTAGATAGGTAGGCCTACCATCTGAGGGCAGGAGGTCATGAATTTTGCCTCTAATAGTTAGAATTTTGTCATTAAAAAAGCTCATAAAATCATTACTGCTAAGGGCTAAAGGAATACAAGGCTCAATAGAGCTTTGACTCTCAGTCAGCCTGGCTACAGTGCTGAAAAGAAACCTGGGGTTGTTCTTGTTTTCTTCTATTAATGCTGAGTAATAGTTTGCTCTGGCATTGCGGAGGCCCCTCTTATAAGTTTTGAGACTGTCTGTCCAGATTAAACGAGATTCTTCCAGTTTGGTTAATCGCCAATTCCTTTCAAATTTTCGCGATATTTGTTTTAACCTACGGGTTTGAGAGTTATACCAAGGAGCAAACTTTCTTTGCTTTGTTAACTTCTTTTTAAGAGGAGCTACAGAGTCGAGCGTTGTTCGCAGCGAGCCTACGGCGCTATCAACAAAATGATCAATTTGGGAGAGGTTAAAGTCGGCACGGGAAACCTCTGTTACTGAAGGTATTGGTATTGAATTTAACGACGAAGTAATCTTTTCCTTAAATTTTGTGACAGCACTATCTGATAAACATCTAGTATAGTAACTGTTGCTAAGTGGCGTGTAATCGAGTAAAAAGAAATCAAAAGTAATCAGATAATGATCTGATAGCAAGGGATTCTGTGGAAAGACTTTTATTTAAAAAGAATACAGTTTAGGAATCCTAATTTGTTTTGGTTATGCAAATTTAATATCGGTCTACTGAGGAGGCTTCATAACAAGGAGGTTGTTGTTTTAGCAAGATAAATATTAAGGTTGAGACAGAACATCCTGTATCCTCGACTGTTACTGTTATATGTTTGGATCTTTTGAAATGTTTTCATATAACCCCCTGACCTTCTAGTGTGTTCGTTATTGTAAATTAAGGCCATGCAGCCAAACTTTGTTTAAACCCACAGGACTTTATTTCAGATTCCGTAGGGATCCCAAAGTTCCTAAAGGTAGCAAATGGCAGGCATTTTTGTAAATGTGAATAATATGATGCACAATACAGCTAGGATATTTCTATTTGACCAAACAGAATAGACAAAAATAAATAAATAAATAAATGAAAAAAAAATTAATTAAATTAAAAACATGGAAGTCTTTGGTTTGAATATTTCAGTCAATGTAAGCATCAAGAGGTGGGCGGAAAAATTGATACAGCTTTGTATTGCGATATCATGTGTGCCAATATTGCATCGACACATGGACGCCAAATTTTATCTTTTATTATATGGATTATTAATATTACAAATAAAAATGAAACTTTTGGGAGCCTACTAGAATCATAAAATCACTTGTCTTTCAGTCCAGTGGAACATTTTGCTGCAATAAAAATAATTTAAAAGAGAAACTTTATTTTTTAAAACTTAATGATATATTATTATTATAGATTATATTGTATCTTGACTTAAGTATTGTGATAATATCATATTGTGGGACCTCAAAAGTTTGTAAAGTTTCTTTTCTAATTAAAAATAATAATTTATGAGAGCTGGAACAAACCAATACAGAATGCGTGATTACAATACTGTTAAACAGTGTGAAATAGGATCATTTTTCCAAACATAAGACTTAATTTTGGGTGGTTTGTGTATTATTCTTCATGGTCAACGTACCAACCTGGAGAAGAGGGCGCTAATGTTCTAAGATGGATGCCGTGTGCCGTTATTCCTTTCGTGGAAGAAGAATCTTGTAGAAGACTACAAATATGGAGCGGGAGAGAGCAGGCAGCTAACATGGCAACTTTTAACTACTGATATCCTTTCTGTGTTTTCATCCCAGGACAACTACCAGGTTCAGCTAACGTCAGGTCATAAATATCGATATAACCAGGTACGACTTTATAACAAAGTACTTGAACGAGACGTCGAGGTGCTGTAGTTCACCGGTGCTAACTTTAGTTAGCGTTAGCTTTCAACTTATCGTGTTAGCTAGCGAACGTTAAAACCACGGAGGAGGTTAAGTGGTCTCGAGAAGATGGAGCTTAATGAGGGGCTCTAACGTCATCACTACCTCGGACTGGGAAATCACATCGTCCTTACCTGGCTCTGCCTGTGCTCTCGGGGGTCAGCTCAGGTTGTTGCCTCCTGTCATGCTACCAGACAGTCCTGTTGTAGGAACAAGTGCCACCTGCTGATGGCGCCGTCCCGGAGAAAAAGAGCCGCAAACGCCACTGAGCTGCTGGACCGGAGGAGTAGAGGTATCAGGGATGCTGGGACTTTGGTCAGGCACAATATGAAGGTCCTTAGAGGTATCCTCCTGCAGGTAATGGAATAAATGGTGCTGTTAGATACTCACTGGAGCAATGAATGCTTTAGTTACTAATATACTCTGTATTATTGTGACATTGCAGGACAACAGGGGTTTCATTAAAGCATGGAGCAAGACCTCAAAATCCACAATAACTTATGAGAATGGTAAAATATACTTTGAAAATTACCAGAACTGCTACAGCTGGTGAGTAAGACTAATTTACATTACATGTTTTCAGTCTTCAACACACAGATAATACAAAATAACACATTTGAGTTACAGATAAATAGCAGAAAAGTCACATAATTCATAAGTCAATTATTATATCTCTGAAGAAATCAAAATCTGAGAATTACAGGAAAGATATGAGGAATGAATAATTCCACACCATGATTTAATCTGAACCTTGTAACTCATGAAAGTCATGAAAGACTGCCTTCCTTTATGAATTTGGTGGCAGGCTTTGTCACTCTAAATACATAGCTTGCCAGATAAAATTTTCCCTAGTTTATTGGGGTCATCTACAAAATTAAAATGATTGCTCCCTGTTTGGTTAGAGCAACATGAAAACATGCATGTACAGTGGTGGAAAAAAGTTTTCGGACACCCTTAAAATTTTACACAATCTCAAATATTATCATGAAATATTTGTGGAAAAAACTTTTTTGTGTTTCAAAAGGTGTGGCTGCATTAGACAGATACAAACAAATACAAATTATATTGTTTTGTTTATTGTTTACAAGAAAAACTAACAAAACTAAATTCTTGACAGTTTCAATATGTCAGTTCTCAACAATGTCGGTATCAAAGTCAACAAATAACAGAGAATGTGTTCAAAACTGAACAAAAAATAAATAAACCATCACATCATCAAATTAATATTTAGTAGTCCTGCCATTGGCACATAGTAGAGCTCTAATCCTGGCTGGCATGTTCCCCACGAGCCTTTCACACTGTTGAGGGGTAATCTTGTCCCATTCTTCTTGAATTACTGCTTTTAATTCTTCTAAATTCTTTGGTTTATGCTTTGAAACAGACCTTTTGATCATCCACCACAGATTTTCAATGGGGCTCATGTCCGGGGATTGAGCTGGCCACTCTAAGACCTGGATATTGTGCTCCTGCAGCCAAGTTCTACTGGCCTTGGATGTGTGGCAAGGGCCATTATCTTGTTGAAACATCCAGTTTTTACCTCGACGGAACAGTGCACGCGCAGAAGGGAGCATGTGGGTTTCGAGAATGGTACAATACTTGGTGGAGTTCAATGTGCCATCACAGACAGTGAGATGACCAACACCAGCAGCACTCATGCATCCCCAAACCATGATACTGCCTCCACCATGCTTGACAGTAGGTACTGTACATGCTGGAGATAATGCTTTGCCTGGCCTTCTGCGTATCCTCACATTAGTAGGAGGAAGATAAAGCTGGAAACTGGACTCATCTGACCACAAAATCTTCTTCCAATTCCTGGCTGTCCAGTTCTTGTGTGCCTGGGCCCAACGACGCCGGGCTAACCTCTGTCTCTCATTGATCAGGGGCTTCTTGATAGCCTTGTAGGACTTTAAGCCATGATCTAAAAGTCGGCCACGTACAGTGCGGGTGGAACACTGGACACCAGTTTGGTTTGACCACTGCTGCTGAAGCTCTTGTGATGTCATTCGGCGGTTTTGCCTGCACATGCGGATCAGGATGCGGTCATTTCTTGCTGAAGAAACCCTTGGACGCCAGATCTTGGTTTGTCTTCCAAGCTGTTGGTTCGTCTGTATTTCTGCAGAGTGTATCCAACTGCTGAAGGACTGCATCTGCACTTCCTGGCTATCTGGCGGCAACTGTACCCTTCCTGGCTGAGAATCTTTATCTTCAGGCATGTTTCCTGCATTAGGTTCCTTGTTTTAGCCATTTTTGTGTCTGAAGAACTTTCAAATGCGCTGGCTTTATGTAGACACGAAGCTTAGCAACAAAAATTGTGTCTTTTAATAAAAAGAACGACCTTCATCACTGGTACCAAAATGACCCAATACTCAAAATTTCTTATGTATTTTTATGGAACCAATCAATTTTAAGTTTTTAATGGCTTTTTTAGGATTTATTTAGTATTTTGGCTGTGACTGTACTAAAAGAAATTGCACTTGAAGACCTAAGAGTGATTTTTAATGCAATATTTCACAAATGCATGGGGTGTCCGAAAACTTTTTTCCACCACTGTATATCATCAGGATGTTTATGTACATGGCATTCAGGTGTAAAAATGAAAGGGACACTGACAGCAGAATAAAAGGTTTAAACTCTTGACACAGTGATTAAATCTTCTGTTTTCAGTGTTCATTCAGAGCCTCAAGTACTGTACAAACTGCCCAAGAGGTCTAAATTGGAGAAATTCGAAGATGCCTTGCTGTGTCAGAGCCCACTTGTGAGTGATATTAAACAAACACTTTTTTGGATTAACACTGAATTTTCAATGATCAGATTTTAACAACCCAGATTCAGATTGTTGTGACTTTTGTCTCGTTGACAGGACAAAACGTTAGCCTCCCCCTCTGATCATAAACCCAGCCTCTTGGCTTTGACAGCCAATAACTGGCTGTATCGCCTTTCAGCTGAAACGGGAGAAGAGCTGCAGAGAGTTTACCTCTCTCCAAACCATAAGTTCAGGTATGGTCAAAGCCCTGACTTCTCTGTTCTTAGAGTTAAGATTAATAATTGTATTTTTAGGTGTAGTTCATTTAAAACATTTTAACCTCATTCTGTGTTGTTTTTTTGGTAGGTATCTTGGCTGGGATGTTTCTCAACAGATGTTTTATGTTAAATCTATTCAAAACAAAGAAACATCTTTAGCACGACAGGTAAATTATTTTGTGTTTTTTTGCCATACTGAAGAGTGTCCACGCTCTTTCTTGAGCGTAATAGAATCTAGGATCTTTCTGTACATGTATTTTCAGCAGTTCATGAACTTTGACAGGTGCATTGCATACATCTAGGAAAGCTGATGTCAAATCTTGTAATGAGTCAGTTAAGGAATTCAGGTATCACTAGTCAAGGGCTGCAACAAAAATAAAGAGATCAAAGTGACATCTTTGAATTGCTAGTTTTGTCCCAAACCCCAAAACATTATATTTACAATAATCAGAAACTCATCAAAACCAGTAAATCCTCAAATTTGAGAAGCTGGAACATGCAAGAGTTTTGCACTTTTGCTAAACAGATGACAGAATTGAGTCCCATGAATTTCTTTGTTGATGTAATCTATCAACTAATCCATTTTTTTTCTAATTCAAAGGCAGGTATCACTCAGAATACGGTGTTGCATCTGGCTATCTTTAATGTCTTCCCTTTACAAATTGTGGGCATTTTGGAGATCAACAAAAAGGTATGCAGATTTCTCTGTATAGTAGTTCATTATTCTTTTTTCAAACGTGCCCACAGGAGTGAAATGTTAAAAAAAAATTAACTTTCATCCTTTCAGGTGTTTGGAAATGGCGTTACCGACGTTGTTCTGTCTCAAGGTGTCCTTGTGGTGTCGTACAGCAACAAGTCAGTGAAGCTGTACAGCTTTGAGCACATTTTCCAAAAGGTATGTCTGTATTTTTTTTATCCTGAAAGAGTTTCCTGCACACTGTTGAGCAGGCTGCATACATAAATACATAATACATATTTAATCAGATTTCTAAACATTGCATCAGGAATACATTTGTTGGAAACTGAATATTTGCAGGGCTGTACTGAATGTGTTTTTTTTTTTACATTCAAAGCATTAAGTGAGGTTTTTGAAAGAAGCTTCAAATGTCTGTCATCATATTTTATGATGTCATCAGCCTTAAAAAATAAAATAAAAATTTAAAAATTCTGGTTCAAAATCCTCAATTTGAATTAAGTGATTCATTGACCATTCATTGAGTTATTTTTTTAATTAAATCAACTTTCAATAATGAAAAAATATAATTAATGGTGCTGTTAGATTGCTGCTGGACTGCCCTGTTAATACAGGTGCATGCTTCCCTTTGTTTGCGGCAATCAGAAGAGCAGATGGTTTTTTGACCATAGAGAAAATGTTGGGTTTTAAAGGTTAAACACCCACAAATATGCAGCCCTGTCCGCCTAGAAACATACAGTACATTTTGAGGGAAACGTAACAAAAGGAACAAAAGGAAAGGAAATGTTCCTAATTAATGTACCTGGCATGACCAAAAATAGTGATAGTAAACCTATTAGCAAAGCAATACTTCGCACATCTATTTCCCAGCAGGTGCATAGGAGAGGTATGAGTAGAACAAAACTTCTAGAAAAGACTTCTGCACACTGTCCAACTTGCAAAAATAATGATTTTAATGGTGCAGCGTTTCAGTGACTAGATCTTCATCAGTCTTCATCACTGTTTGCCTGATGAAGGTCACTGAAGTCACTGAAACGTTGCAGCATTACACCATCCAGCCATAGTGACTACAGCATCATATTTTTATTACATTTTTCATTAATATGTAACCAAAATCACAATGTTTCCCCTCATCCTAACCAAAGTATTTGTGTGGCCTAAACCTAGGACTGGAATCTGTATGCAAACCTGAATTTCTGGTATCTAAGTCCTGCCCCTTTCTGCCCGCCGTCCTCCCCAAACACAACCTTTCAAAGCCTGCATGACACATGAATGTGGTGTTTTGTTACCTGAAAGAAACGTCTGTGAACATAATCCAGGCAGTGATTACTTTGCCACAACAGCATAATTAAGACAGCAGCTTTGTAACACACACTGTAATATCCAGGAGACAGGTTTGCAAATATGGAATGAAGCAGAATATTTTTTCTACAAACGCATATTGTGAATTTTGGAAATGACTACATCTTGCTTTTTACAATAAATTTTGACTTTTGGATTTCACGACATTCTGGAGTTATTGGAAATGTTTGGATCACTTGAGTCA